AAATAATTAAATTACTGCTATTACATTTGATATTTTAATCCAATTTTCCTTATGTTGCAAAACCAATTTAGAAAATATAGGGCTGGGCCCAACAAGTTGATTATACGACAACGAGTTGTCGTTTTGATGGTGTTTGACCGGTCATACCAACTTCCAGTCTTCTTTAGTTACAATCCAAACGGATCAGATCTTAATTTTTAACTACTTATTATGGTTAATACCAACTTATATCCAACATTTAACCAAAGTCGGATCAGACATATCAACGATAAAAAAAACATGTTACACAGCTTATTTGGTGCATATCAACGATAGAAACTTGTTTTGAATTTCTTCGCCCTCTCGTCAAATAACATTCCTTTAACTCTATACTCCCATGTGATCAATAAGGGCAGGATACACTCTACTCCCATTCTTTCAAACGTTTGCAAGTATCCTAGCAAACCTGCCATAACAAAATCATCAAACTATTAAGAATGTTTGAACCATAGCCATCATATATATTAGAAAACACCCATTCATACAAAAGCTGAGGGAGGTCCACCAAGATTTTCATATACCTGTCAAAATCACTGGGTTTCTGATCAGAAGGCCTTCTTATGTCTGGTTCTGTCCATTATCTCTGTTAAGATCTTCTTCATATTTGGTTGATCCTGTCCATTATCTCTGTTTATCTCTGTTTCCATCCATGTCAACATATTGTCTCCCTCCAGAATGATAAGCAAACCAAATCGTATCCAACCCAAATTTTTGTAATTACCGGAACGATATCTTTTAAAGGAACCATAGTGTTTTTTCTTCCGTAGCCTTCTCGAACATAATTTCTTATATTTTTTTGAGCTATGTTTCATTGTTTCTAGTTCTAAAAAAAGACCTTGTTCTGTTTTACTCCAATCAGTTTGTACTCTTATTCTGTTTTCTCCATTAGACCAAATAAGAAAACAGTTCTTGACGTGCTTATGTCTCTCATATCAGATTTAAGCCCCATTTCCCAACAATAAGGATCACTCATCAGCTTTGTCTCTCCAATTACGATTCATCCTAACTCAGATTAGTATTTCTGATATCAATTATTTTCCTACCTGTTTCTCAAACACTGTGTTTTAAGAGCTTCAGTATAGTTTCTTGTTTCATACTCTGCTTGCTCCAAGTATGATGTCGCCTGAATAAAAGGATATAAGAATCAGTCAGATTGTTTAGAGTGACAGGTCAGAGTTACAACACCTAACAGAAAGAAAGACGTGAAGTACATATTTCTGTTCCCGCTACATTTCATGAAAACATGTCAACCATGACCATAATGTATATCAAACATGTCAACCATTACCATGTTGAGATATGTGTTCTATCTTTTGCTCAGAAACACAAACCTAGAAGAAATTTACAAAAGAAATAGAAGAAATTTACCGAGCCAGAAGACGAATGAAATGGAGCCAGAGCTGATCGAAATCAGGGGAGACGTCAAGTAGCTCTTTGTATGTACATGTTAATGGCGACTTTTACTGTTCTGATTCTTCTTCCCCACTTAAATTCCCTTCGTCCATTGGTCTCTTCTTCCATGGTTTCTGCTAAAACAGAGTCGTGTGGTCATAGTTTTTAGTTATTTTATTAGTTATTGCTGTGTTTTTTAGGTTGAATGAAGCTTGTCCACCAAGTCGTGTGGTCATTCAAAATCAACTCGGCCCTAATACTCCTCTTCAATATCATTGTCGTGGTAGAAATGGCAAAAAGGACTTGATACGAGATTCAAAACTTTAGCGACCTTCGATGCTAATATTACCACTGACTTCGTCGATGAATCTACTAAAATCTCAAACTCAACAATTCATGTAATTTAGCCTATGGTGGTCCTTAAAAGTATTCTATTGATGGACTTGAAGTGTATCAGGGAGGCATTGGGCATTCTTGCCATTGGAATAATTGTTTATTTACTGCTAAAATTGATGGAATATACCTTACAAGAGGCGGTATGAAAACAATGGTATTCATACTTCCTTGGCGGCAGAGATAAACATTTTTATTTTAAAAAATTTTGGTTGTTTGTTTACGTATAATAAACTAATTTATTAAGATATACCAACAATATGTTATAATATATAAAAATATAAAAAAGTAAAATCTGATTTTATTAATAGTAATATATATTGTTTTAAATGTTTTAAATAATAACATAATATATTAATTTAATACTTGTTGAAAGAAACATCTCTCATCTATATATATTTTTTGTTTGTTAATATTTCAACTTAAACTTATAAAACACTAACTGTTGAAATTATTTGAAAGAGTCGTCTAAAAATGTTTAATTAAGATAAAATCCAATGGTTGCATTTGGCATCCAAAAGAAAAAATGATTAGCTGCAAATAATCTCCTATGCTCTTTTATGGAAAAATGCTAATAATGGTCGTTTCTCTTAGGTTGAAGCCTGCGTTACGTGCGGGTTGTGTTGTTAATTTTTTCTCCATGTTTGTAAATTTTATTTTATAAATAATAATAAAATGATAGTCTCTTCGATGCAATTTTTTGTTTCTTGATTTATCTTCATTTCCTCCTTTTTATAACTTATGAGTTGCAATTCCGACAATATGTATAAATTTGCAAAACTGTGAGAATGACATTGAATGACATATTAAACTCCAACATGTTCAGTTAATTAATCAATTATCATAGACTTTGAGTCGATTTAGTAGAATGAAAGTCGCACAACGGTTGAATGCATCATCAATTTTTAGTTTTATCTTCTTCTCTACTTAAATGAAGCTAAGTTGACTAAGTTATCAACTATGTAAAAAAAAAGACATCTTAGGCTTGAGACTGTTACCCCAAACCCGAAAACCCAAACCGTATTACCCAAAATATCTATACCCGATTGGTTTCGGGTATAAATAAAATCACCCATTGATAAAATATTGGATATTCGTGAGTATCAAATAATATCCAGATCGAAGCACTATATGAATGGGTACCTTATAGAACATTTATAAAAGTCTCTTAGGGTCAATGTTTCTAAGTAACAACACATGTGATTGGTAAACTAAAAGGGGTTTGTTAATATACAATCTTCTATCTTATCTTCAGCTTTATGTTAGATTACACAATATGTCACGTTCACTCATAATAAACAAACGTTGTTGTTTGTTAATCGATAGTTGTAAAAGTTATTATGAATTTTATATTCAAATAAATTTGAAAACGTTAAACATCTGGTTTACATTTAATACTATATCAATGCTCGCGCATACGCGCAGGTTTTTCTAATTGTTATATTTTTAGAAAAATGTTCAAATAATTTTAAATTTGCGATTATTAATAGTATAAACTATAATCCAAATAATACTCGCATTTTAATTTCAACTTATCTGGTTAGCAACTGACTTTCAAATCTATATTTTGCATTATACCACACGTCTATTTGCCATCAACTCTCTTTGTTTACTTATGACCACATTGAACGAATTTTGATTTTCCGTCTTTGTTTAGAAAATGAATATTTAGCAAATAAATAAGATTTAAAATTATCAATCGGAAGTAAGAGGAAAAGTCATGTTATATGTCAATTAATGGAGGGTTAATATAACGTGGAAGGTGAAGCAATCGACGGTTTTGGAAAACATGTATGTAATGACTGCAACGGTTAAGAATGTGAAGAGACTATTCTCTTTAAAAGTTTTCTCATGTGTCAATCCAATAAGTGTCCACATGTCAATCATATGGAGAGAGTTGACCTCAGATTCAAATGAATTGAACAACATAAACCAAAATAAACAACTTTCTGAAAAATATGAACTTGTTTTTTTCAATTTTGATTCCTTTTTTAAAAAAAAAATTTACATTTAAAGTATAAAATTGTTTTACAGAAACTTTGGCTATTTTTTGCAAAAAAAAAAAAGAAAAGTAGAGAATTTTTCCAGATACTTTTGATTCTTTTCTCTTTCATCTTGTTATCTTTCATCATGATTCATCACCTTCATGTGGTGAACTCTACACAATAGTACATATCATATGTGATCAGTGGCGAATCTACATTGATCATCAAGGAGGGGGCAAGTGCCCCCACTAAAACATTTGAGATCAATGTAATTTCTTTAAGATTAAATTAATACCCCCATACAAAAATCTTAATATGTGCCATTCTTTTTGTTTGTTTGGTCCGAAATCAAAATACTACTCTATAATGAAATTTTTATTGTAAACCATCCGTACTTATTAAATTATTTACCTAGCCATGTATTTAATGCATAAAGATTAAAACAAACATAAATGGAATTAATTCATTCTATCATTTATAGTTTTTTCTTAACCTGTTGCATTGTTTTTTGGTTTACAAATTACTCATAGACTTTTACATAGTATAATATTGAAGAGTTTTTATATTTTCATATTATTCTTTGTTAACCAACAGCATAAAAACATTATTTTTCTAAGTTCATATTTTGCCCCCAGTCAATTTTTGTTCTGGATTCGCCACTGGATGTGATGGCATCACTTGCGCTACTACAAACAAATATAAATTTTGGGTGTAGTCAAGAAATTGATTGTAGACCAATAAGACCAGGTGGAGCTTGTTTTAAGCCTAATTGTTATTTCTGGTATGTGACAGTCAACTCTCGTTGGATGAGACCCGGAGCTGGTTTAGTCTAATAGGTGCACGGGTTAGATTAGAGGCTATTGGTTATTAGTCGGGATCTGATTTAATATCTTTGTACCGGTTTACTCATCGCATTAGAGATTCGTCTTGGATCTGCTCTTGAGGATTGATCTTTGTAACTCCCTCTTGACATAGTGAAGAAGTTGCTTGGCACCATCAAGCCCCAGGAGAGTAGGAAACGAACTCCTGCGTAACCAAATCTTGTGTTCTTCTTCTCCCTTACCTTTGTATGTTTACGATTCCTTGTTCCGTGAGTTTAAGTGATCGTGAGAGTTGAGAGCAATCGATTCTTTAGATTGAGCTTCAATTCGCAACAAGTGGTATCAGAGCCAGGTTCTGGTATCAGAGAAGATGACCACGATTAAGATCGAGATCGATCGATTTGATGGCAACGGCGATTTCTATATGTGGAGGAAACGGATGTACGCAAATCTTAGCGTACTCGGATTGAAGGATGTTCTATCGGAGGCAGCTCTGGTGGTGATTCCTGCCGACGAAACTCCGGAAGCTCAAGCTCTGAGGCTTCAATCAGCAGCGGAGAGGCTTGAGAGATGTGAAAAGGCGAAGAACTTAATCTTCTGCAATATCACGGATCCGGTTCTCAGGAAGCACGATGCATGTGAAACAGCTGAATCAGCTTGGTCAACCATGGAGATATTGTATCTTTCTAACTCATTACCTAATCGCATACATCTTCAATAGATTCTATACGTTTAAAATGGTTGAGTCTAAGACTATGGATGAAAATATTGATGAATTCTTGAAGGTTGTATCTGCACTAAGTAGTGTTAATGTTTCTGTGACAGAGGAAGTGCAGGCCATATTGCTTCTGAATTCATTCCTACCAAGATATGATACCATGAAGGAGACGCTGAAGTATGGCCGTCAATCTCTGACACTAAAAGAAGTGATACAAGCGACAAGGTCAAGAGAGAATGATCTCAGAGCAACTGGAGAATCTGGAGCACAAGGAACATCTCAGAAATGAGGTGAAACGTATATAGCAAGAGGAAGACCTGAAAAGAGAGAGCAGTTTAACAAGAAGTCAAACAAGAATCGCTCTAGGTCCAAGTCTGGATCGAAGCTTACATGTTGGTATTGTAAAAAGGAAGGTCACGTGAAGAAAGATTGCTATGCTCGTAAAAGGAGGATGGAGAGTGAACATAATGGTGAAGCAGCTGTTATGGTGGATACTCTTCATGAGATTGATGCATTGACTATCTCAGATCAGGATCCCAAGGATCGTTGGATCATAGACTCTGGATGCTCCTATCATATGACATCCAGAAGAGACTGGTTCGAAGATTACGAGGACGTCACTGGAGGACAAGTGATGCTCGCTGATGACAGAACAGTCAGAGTCGAAGGGATAGGCACAATCCGCATTAATGCCAATGGAGGAACAGTCAAGCGGCTACAGAAAGTCAGGTATGTTCCTAATCTCAAAAGAAACCTAATATCTGTGAGTACTCTTGATTTACAGGGATTCAAGCATGAGGGAAGCAACGGGAAGATCAAGTTCTACAAGAATGAGAAGTTGACTCTTCAAGGCACATTGTGTGGAAGTTTGTATCTGCTTGATGGTAAAACTGTGGCAGGAGATTCAAATGCTGCTGTTTCTAAGGACGATACAGCGTTGTGGCACAGTAGGCTCGGCCATATGAGTATGAAGAACTTGAAGATTCTGGTTCAGAAAGGGTTTCTAGACAAGAAGAAGATCAGTGACTTGGACTTCTGTGAAAGCTGTGTCATGGGGAAGAACAAGCGTCTCAGTTTCAGCATCGTCAAACACAATACGGAGGAAGTTCTCAAGTATGTTCACTCAGATCTGTGGGGATCTCCCAACGTTCATTTGTCGATCTCCAGGAAGCAATATTTCTTGTCTATCATTGACGACTATTCAAGAAAGGTGTGGGTGTACTTCCTGGGAACAAAAGATGAAGCTTTCAGCAAGTTCTGTGAATGGAAGACTTTAGTGTAGAATCAGGTCAACAAGAGAGTCAAGTGTCTGAGGACGGATAACGGCTTAGAGTTCTGCAACTCAGTGTTTGATGGTTTCTGCAAGCAGCATGGGATTGAGAGGCACAGAACATGTGCTTACACTCCTCAGCAAAATGGAGTAGCTGAGCGCATGAATCGCACGATTATGGAGAAGATGAGGTGTCTCCTGAATGAGTCTGGTCTGGAAGAGAAGTTCTGGGCTGAGGCAATGGCTACCTCAGTGTATCTTATCAACAGGACACCTTCAAGTGCAAATGATGCCAATATTCCTGAACAGTTGTGGCTCAACAAGGAACCAGGTTATTTGCATCTTAGAAGATCTGGCTCAGTGGTTTATGTACATATAGATCAAGGGAAGCTAAAACCCAGGGCGTTGAAAGGTGTCTTTATTGGATACCCTCAAGGCGTGAAAGGGTATAAGGTGTGGTTGTTGGAAGATAAGAAGTGCGTGGTTAGCAGGAATGCAGTGTTTACTGAAGGCAAGCTCTACAAGGATCTGCTACAAGACAAGGAATCAGCAAAGAATCAACAGGATTCAGTGAAACAAGTGAAGTCTGGGGTTATCATCGAAGATGCAGAGACTCAGGAGGTTTGGAAGCTGATTCTGAAAGTGAAGATGAAGGTGGAGCTAATGAAGTAGTTCCTGAGAGTGATGCAGATTCAGATGGTGAACAGGATCTGACAAACTATCAGTTAGCTAGAGACAGGGATCGTAGGACGATCAGGTTACCAACCAGGTATCAAGATGATGAACAAGTTTTGGCATTCGCGTTGTCTGTAGCAGAAGTGATTGATTCAGATGAACCAAAGACGTATCAGGAAGCACTCAGAAGCAGCAACTGGGTGAAATGGGAATGAGGTTTTGAAGATGAAATGGACTCACTTATGAAGAACCACACTTGGAATTTGGTAAAAAGGCCGAAGAAACAGAAAGTGATTGGCTGCAGATGGATTCTTACCAAGAAGCCAGGAATTCCAGGTGTTGAGAAACCGAGGTATAAAACAAGATTGGTGGCAAAGGGTTATGCACAAAAAGTGGGTGTTGACTTTCAGGAAATTGTCTCTCCTGTAGTCAAACATGTCTCGATTCGCATTCTTCTTTCCATGACGGTGAATTACGATCTGGAGTTGGAACAACTTGATGTGAAGACAGCTTTCCTACATGGAGAAGTTGAAGAAGATATTTTCATGGAACAACCAGAGGGATTTGTGGTCAAGGACAGAGAAGATGATGTGTGTCATTTGAAGAAGTCATTGTATGGTCTCAAACAGGCTCCATGTCAATGGAATAAGTGTTTTGATCAGTATATGGTTGAGATTGGGTTTAAAAGGAGTCAGTTTGATCTGTGTGTCTACTTCAAGGATCTGGGAAAAGATGGCTACCTCTACTTGCTCTTATACGTAGATGATATGCTAGTGGCTTCTAAGAGTATGGATGAAATCAAGAAAGTAAAGTCATTGCTCAGTGATCGGTTTGAAATGAAGGATTTGGGTCATGCTAATAGGATTCTGGGTATGGATATAGAAAGAGATCGTGCAGCTGGAGTTCTTACACTTTCTCAGACTAGTTACATCAAGAAGATTCTTCAGGTTTTCAGAGTGGATGAAGCAAAGGCTGTGTCAACTCCCATTGGTGCTCATTTCAAGCTTGCTGCAATACAGGAGGAGGATGAGAGTGCATGTGAAGTTCCTTATTGTAATGCTGTGGGAAGCATTATGTATGCAATGATATGCACAAGACCTGATGTTGCATATGCTATTGGATTGGTTAGTCGATTCATGAGTAATCCGGGAAATGTACATTGGACAGCAATACGGTGGCTATTGAAGTATTTGAAGGGTATGCAAGACAAGAAGCTGGTGTTCACGAAAGGTTCAGATTTCAGAGTTGAAGGTTTCTCAGATTCAGACTATGCAGGTGATAAGGATCGCAGAAGGTCGATCACGGGTTATGTGTTTAGAGTTGGCGGCAATGTGGTCAGTTGGAAATCAAATCTACAACAGGTAGTGGCTTTGTCTACAACGGAAGCTGAATACATCGCTCTATCAGAGGCAGTGAAGGAAGGAATTTGGTTAAGAGGCTTGGTTGAAGAGCTTGGATTTAAGCAAGAGGCAACAGATATTTGGTGCGATTCTCAGAGTGCTATTTGTTTGGCAAAGAACAATGTGTTTCATGAGAGGACTAAACATGTTGCTGTGAAGTATCATTTCATCAGAGATGAGACTGAAGTTGGAACTGTGAAGATTCAGAAGATTCCAACGGAGAGGAACCCTGCCGATATGCTTACAAAGGTGATTCCTGTTCAGAAGTTTGAGAAGGCTTTGGCCTTACTCAAAGTGACTCGGTGATTGAGCTAGTTACGCTTGGTGGTGCTATGGAGCTTTTGAAGCTGGATTCAAGACCCGAAGATTCAAGTTGATGTCAAGGTGGAGATTGTTATTCTGGTATGTGACAGTCAACTCTCATTGGACGAGAACCGGAGTTGGTTTAGTCTAATAGGTGCACGGGTTAGATTAGAGGCTATTGGTTATTAGCCGGGATCTGATTTAATCTCTCTGTACCGGTTTACTCATCTCATTAGAGTAAAAAGGGGATCTGGGTTTTGTGGATAAGACGACGAACACATATCGTGTGACTCGTAGTGAGAGAGATTGTAAGCGATCCGAGAGTAGAGAGATTTGTCTTGGATCTGCTCTTGAGAATTGATCTTTGTAACTCCCTCTTGACATAGTGAAGAAGTTGCTTGGCACCATCAAGCCCCAGGAGAGTAGGAAACGAACTCCTGGGTAACCAAATCTTGTGTTCTTCTTCTCCCTTACCTTTGTATGTTTACGATTCCTTGTTCCGTGAGTTTGAGTGATCGTGAGAGTTGAGAGCAATCAATTCTTTAGATTGAGCTTCAATTCGCAACACTAATACTCACATACGTATATTTCGTATGTGATGAACGCTTATTACCAGACTCATGGTCGGAGCAGAGAGGCATGCAGTTTTATTTTTGGCCGTATCGGCATATTAGTCGATACAAACCCTAGTTATGGTGTTTGTGTCTTTCAATCCTAGAAATATCTAATTGGTTTTCATAGGTGTGACACATGGAATACGGAGGAAAATGAACAACTATGTAGTTCCAGATTTTCTTTAATACCAATTATATAATTACGTTACATGATATATGTTCAAATGTTTGGTACGTTTAATCAAAAAAATATGAAAGTTACTACATTATTGGGTATCTTTTAGTTCAATTTTAATGCCTTTTGTTAGTAATTTTGTTAATCAATTCTGAAATTTCTACGTTTTATAATTATAACTTTATAACAACCAAAACAAAGGCCCTTTACCAAAAAAAAAAAAATCAAAACAAGATTCAAATCAATCTACAATAACAAAACTAGAAATTTCATTTGAATAATATTTTTTTTCAGAAGATTGAAAATAATCAAAATGAGAGAAGATAACATATTATAGGCTTGTCACCAAAATCAAAAGAGCAATTAATATATGTGTGTGTATGAAATATTATAGCTAAATTTTTTTTTGGTTACTTGTTAGTTTTTTGGCTTTTTCTCCTAATTTCCATTAAAAATAAAATTGTTTCACACAAACTTTGGCTATTAATTAGGGTGATTTGGTTTAATATTACTAAAAAATTTCATAATTTGAAAATTATCACTGGTTTTTAAAATTTTGAAAATTAACTTTTTTAATAAGTGAAAAGACAATAAAACCATTATCATTTTTCTATTAATAATGAAAAAAAAATTCTTATTTAATTTAGATATATATTGAATTTAGATATATATTGTCTTTTTAATAAGTGAAAAGATAATAAAACCATTATCATTTTCTTATTGAATATATTTTCGAAAATTCGTTTATATATTTTTAAATATTTTTGAATATTTAAAAATATACATGTTATTTTGAAAATATAGTCATATTTATCATAAAAATGAATCAAACTCTATAAATATATATACATAAATATCATTTTAGAATAAAGAAAAACTCACACTTCATTCTTAAAAAAAATGATAGAATGTGTTAAAGTTAACTTTTTGTTCTATATTTATGACATGTTAAATTTCAAATAAAATCTTCTAAATATCTTTTTGTTTTCTTGTTGTAAATTTTATTCAGATTTTATGGGAATATCCACACTGAAGTTTATTTTCTCCTCTTTTTTTAGTTATATAAAATAAAAGTAATTGTTCATAATTATCTTTAGAATAACATAATTTTTTTTTACAATTAAGATAAACGAAATTTTAAAACAATTTTAATATCTAAAAAATTGAGGGTATTTTAGTAATTTTAAATATTAGAAAGATTAATTTACCAACACTTTTAAAAGTGGGTTAGTTTTCAAAATATGATTAATTTTATGTAATATTTGTCTAAATTTCCTCTATTAATTATTGCAACACTTAAAAAAAGTAGAGAACTTTTGCAGTCAGATTTTCTTTTTGATTTCAGTATTTAAATATTTGATTATATAGTTTATTCAATTCTTCCATAAATAGAAATTTTCAATTAGTTTGTTAACTCTAGTAGATATTCTTCTATAATTTCTTTACTTTATGAAAATAAATACTAAAACCAAATATCTAGCTGCTTTAATTTAGTATATATATATAATCGCAGACATTATAATACTTGCATAGAAATTCAAAATCTAATAAGTCTTTGAATATCATTTGCATATTTTATTTTTAAGAATGACGAATTTCTCGTCATTGTTGACGCTTATTTTCATCCTTTTATCTTCCATCATGATCCATCACCTTCCCGTGGTGAGCTCTACACAATGGTGTATAGCAGATATGATCTCTACGGATGAGCAACTACGAGCAAATATAAAATTTGGGAGTAGTCGAGTTGATTGTGGACCAATCAAACGAGGTGGATCTTGTTTTAAACCCAATACTCTCAGAAGTCATGCATCATTTGTGATGAATGCTTATTACCAAAACCATGGTCGCACCAAAGAGGCATGCCATTCAATATTCGGCAATGCCGGCATGTTAATTGATGTAAACCCTAGTTATGGTGTCTATGCATCTTAGAAACATGGTGTTGATGGGTGTGATCCATGAAAAACATTGTAGAAATGAATAATTCCGCATTATAAAAAAATCGTGATATATATGATCTCAAATGTTTCCTAAGTTTAGTAAACAAAATCACAGTAATTAATTTGTTTGGGTTCTTTTAATAAAAAAAAATTATCAGCTTAATAATTTCGTCAATATATTCTGAATTTTGTCTTCATTTTTTCCAATTATATCATCCGAGAACAAGACTTAAAAACATTAAAATCAGTGGACAACATTTTCTCTAGAGTTAGAATAATCCATAACCGACAATAATTTCTCGATGAATCTTTTAACCGCAACAAACGAAGATCCGTCGTCCATCGCAGCCTCCTTTGCTGCTTCTGCTATCTCCTTCAGTTTCCTCCTCGGCACATCCTCACCGTCCATCAAAGATAGGACGGCTTTAGCGATTTCATCAGCTTTCACGATTTCTCCATGTGCCAACACGTAATCCAAACGCATCTCCAAAGCCAAACCGAGTTCCGTCACCATCGTGAACGCGTTTAGTTGCTGTTCTGCGGACAGTGGCCATGTTACGATTGGAACGCCGAAACGCAAACTCTCCAATATCGAGTTCCAACCGCAGTGAGACACGAACCCTTTGATTGCTTTATGGGCCAGAATTTCAACTTGTGGAGCCCAACCACAAACGAGGCCTTGACCCACGACCCGGTTCATGAACCCGTCCGGTAAAATCTCATACGAGTCATCCTTCGGGTCTGTTCGAATCGACCAAAGGAATCTACAGCCGACGATCTCTAGTGCTTGAGCAATCTCTTTAATTTGAGAAACACTAAGATTCTTCATGCTCCCGAAGCAAAGGAACACTACAGATGACTCGGCTTGCTCGTCGAGCCATCTCATGATCCCTCGGAGGATTGTTGGAGCAGAGAATCGGACCCACTGGGTAAACGGGTGGGTAATTCTCAGGACGTTGATCAAAGTAATCAAAGACGCTACGTTCAAGAGATGTAAAGGAATTGACCAAAATACCCTTCGCCTGAGGATATTTGTCAGCCAATTCGACCCAACCCTCGTAACGTTCGCCGTTGAACAGACCCGGTGGCAAAACTCTAGTGGGAACGGAGCTGGCGAAACCAGGAATCGTGTTTTCCTCCTCGCCGGAGCTCCAGTGGAGCTCCGATTTGACTCTACGGTGTCTCTCCGGGAGATATTTCATCAAACCCAAGAATCTGGCGCTAAACGTGAGGAAGACGTGAGAAGGGAGGTTAAACTCGTTTCCCACATCGATCAAAGGGACGCAGAGGAAATCGAGAACTAAACCGGCGACGCGAACCGGATCTGACCCGTTACGAGAAGACAAGAGTGTGGAGAGAGCGTCTCTAACCAAGGGAGCCATTTTCTTGACGAATTCAAGAATGTAAGCTTCGGGAGCTTTTGCGAAGAGCTCCATTGGTGGAGGAGTTTGGAGATCGGGCAATGCAACGAGACGGATGCGAGGCTCTGTTTCAACGAGGGGTTGGAGGAAGGCGTCGCTGTTGTATTGAGGGAGAAAAGGTAAGCCCCAATGAAGGATGGTGATTGTTGAATTTTTGATTAAGAAACAGAGAGAGGGGTTGAGACAAAAAACAGAGTAAGAGATTGATGATTATCTCTTCTCTCGTGAAGAAGAACATTTACGAGGAAGTTTGTTATTACACTGAAACTTGATTGTATTTACACAAGACAAAACTGGTTTATATAGAAATTGAATAGACACAACACAACTCAAGAGTTGTGTCTCTTCCCTCTTAATCTAAAGGTCGCGACGCCTCCGATCAGAAGTAACCGTAACAAACAGAAACTCAATTATATTCCAACAGTGATGGTGTGAATCCGACGAGGGTTGTGGCTGAGGAGTAGTTTCGCGAGTTGGATGGTGACAAGAAGGTGTCCGGTGATCGGAAAAGGGATGAAAATGAGCTCTGCTTCTTGCTTCTCCATCTTTCTTCTCACTGCGGTTTCTGAGATACTCGAAAGTAGTAAGAAAAAAAGAAGAAAAAAAAAAAAAAAAAAAGTAGTAAGAAAAGAGAAAGAACAAAAAATTAAAGCTTATTAGTTTGTGTAATCAGAAGAAATGGTGTTGATGCTTATCGACTCACAGGTCACAGCCAAATAGTTCAAAAATTAGATTCAACGTGTGGTATTCTTTATGAGAATGTGTCAGATGTGAATGTTGTGGCTAGCATGCAAGAGCAAGTGTGACATTTTTCATACTTGTTTTTATTTCACCTCAGCTAAAAGGTATGGATGAAGAAAGATACAATCTTTCTCTTTCTCAGCCTCTCAACACCATTTTTCTGCAGAAGAAACAAATGGGGAATTCAAATTAGCTTTTACTTTGAGATTAATCAAGGATCCTCGGACGATATACAGAGAAGCACGTAACTCACAAGTTTAAGCATAACTATCTTCTTAAATCAAGCACATAACTATTGCTTTTTCAAGATATAGTAGAATCACACAAATTTTCCGAGATGATGCCTGATTTGTTTTATTAAAAAGTTGTCTGAAAAATCACAAGATACAAACTTTTGTGGTGGATCGAAGCAGAAACAGGTGAGAGGATAACGAGCAACGAATCGGGAAGCTTGAACAAAAGGCAAAATCAGCGACGGAGATCAAGCCACGTGACATACATCAGCGACGGTCATTGAAAGGCAATTTTAAATTATCCCACATCGGAAGTATGAGAAAAGGTTTGTGTTGTCTTTGGGTTATAAATATAAGAGACTTTCTTCAATTTAATCCTAACCCGTTTCTGTCAGGGGTGAAAGTCGGTACGCTGATGATCGTATAGAGATGGCGTATCGTGCCGACACTATATTTACTGACATGTTAATAGGCGAGTGGGCCTTCCCTTACTTTGGTTGGGCCTGCCCGTCAATTTTTGGAAACCTCGATTTTCATCGAGGTTATTCTACCCACACGCGTACCCAAAGAATTACAGAATAAAGATGACTAGAAAATATTATAAACAAAATTAACTCAAAATCCAACAAAATTTTAATGTTCATTTTTCACAATCCATTAATGACAACTTTTAATTCTGTCACTATTCCAGGTCAAACAGACTACATCATATCATCTGATTCTATTGTTTGCAGGTAAAATCGTTTCATAACAGCTTTTGGAGCCAAAGGTTTAATATGGAATTAGCACGAACCTTATGCCAAAAAGTTTTTGGAGGAAAACTTATCTTAAATTCCTAAATGGTAATGATATGGTAATAAAGAATATATTTATGAGTTACTACAAGCTACTGAGAATCATCTAAACTAAATGGGATTGATGTCCCAAGACTAAACGTTTTCCTCATGGAAATATTCCTAATAAATAGAATGATTTGGTTTAGTCCATATATAAAGACATGTACATTGTAGAGATCTCTTTCAATACCATTTTTACCAAATAGCAAAAATGTCTCCGTCGTTGACACTCCTCGCCATCCTCCTATCTTCCATCATGATCCACCAGCTTCCATTGGCAAGCTCCACACAATGGTGTATAGCAACTCCGACGGCGACGGAGAAGCAGCTAGAATATAATCTCGGTTTTGCATGCGCTAATTCAGTTGACTGTAGACCAATCTTCCCAAGCGGACCCTGTTATAATCCCAATACTCGCCTAAGCCATGCCTCATTTGTCATGAACTCTTATTACCAAACCCATGGCCGCACCGACTACGCATGCAAATTCTTTTTCCCTAATAGCAGCATGATCACTACTACAAACCCTAGCTATGGGGCTTGTGTCTATTTATCTTGATTGATTTTGATATGTTTATTTCACGGATACATTGTAACTTTTTTTTTTGGGGATCAGTTATATAATAATAAACTTTTTTGCGGTATATCTTAAAATGTTTCGTAAGTTTAATGAAAAAACTTTAAAGTAATGGATGGCATCGTGCAGTATCTTTAGTTAGGCAAGAAAGTGGTCCACAGTGCCTAACTCAAGATATCAATACGATCATCAGAATGTGTATCTTGATGCGATCTTTAAGAGACACCATATTTTTGTGTAAACATTGTTTGTTGTTTATGGTTTAGTTTTTGTTAATACGTAATATTTATCATCATGTAAACCAGTTTGAGGTTGTAAGTAAGAATGTGAAATTGGTCAGACATTCAACATTTAAAAAAGTGTGACCAATTTAACGATCTCATTTGGCTTCAACGTTTTGAAGAAAATGGGAGAGTGGTTTTCTGAGAAAAAGTATCATATCTAAGAGCAAAAAAAAAAAAAAATTCAAACAAGAAAATACTGCATTGATTAATGGTAACAAAGAAACTTACATGCTTCACTCAAACAATAGAGGACAATTAAGGGAAACTAATTGCTTGATACAAAACCAATATAGCAAACGTTGTAACTAGAGACAAAGAAGATTCAAAGGAAGGAACAAAGTTCAAAGGTAAGCAAATCAAAAGAAGTGTAACATAAACAAAGCTTATTGGACAAGAAAAGTCTTAGGGCTTGATTCCTATAACGTTCTGTATGAATTTCTCAGTAGCCAAATACGAAGATCCACCATCCAACGTAGCTTTCCGTGCCATCTGAGAGACATCCATCACTCTTTTCCTCACCAAATTATTATCTTTGTCCATTACACAGCGAATCGCAGTCTCTATCTCGTTTGCACTTACAAGCTCACCGCCATGTATCCTGTAATCAAGCCTCATCTCCACTGCGATCTTCAGTTCCTTAACCATCAGAAACGCATTGAGCTGTTGCTCTGCATACATTGGCCATGTCACAATCGGCACACCAAACCACAAACTCTCAACTATTGAGTTCCATCCACAGTGAGACACAAAACCTCCCACTGCCTTGTGCGCTAATATCTCCACCTGAGGAGACCAACCGCATATCATTCCTCGGCCACTGACACGCTCAAGGAAACCCTCCGGCAAAAGATCATCATCTTCTTCAGTGCGGAGTGACCAGAGGAATTTGGACTGACAAAGCTCAAGTCCACGAGCTATTTCCTTCACTAGAGGACCTCTCAACTTTCCCATACTCCCAAAGCAAAGGAACACAACCGAGGCCTCGGGCTGATCATCAAGCCATTTCATCAACTCGTCACGACGGGTTAAGTCCTTATCTGGATGGGGCTGGGCCTTCAAGTTACATATGGGGCCAACAGCATACACAGGTGGGTAATTCTGTTTGTTAAGAAAATGATTCAAAGAGTGTTGCTCAATATCAAAGGAGCTATTCACTAAGATTCCATTTGCCTTGGCAAACAAGTTTGAAAACTTAACATCAGCATCATAACCGTCTTCCATAAACAAACCTGACGGCAAAACTCTCGTTGGGACAGGGTTTACAAAGCCAGGAATCGACAACATTTCTTCAGGGTCTTTGACAAAAACCGAGGTATCTTTGCGATCTGCTAGATACTGCATCATAGCTAAGAACCCGGAATTCATCGTCAAGAACACATAGAAAGGAAGACTTACTTCTTTTGCTATGTCAATCATGGGGAGACAGAAGAAATCAGCAACTATTCCCTTGACTGCAGCAACTCCATCCAATGGAGAAGAAGATAAGATGTTCATGACTATATTTCTCACACGAGGGATGTTTCTCTCGACATAATCGTAGACATGGGCTTCCACAGAATGAGCAACATGTGTTGGTTTCTCTTCTAACTCGGGGACGTCAATGAATCTAACAAAGGGAAGTGACGAGGCCATTGACTTAACATAAGCATCCACATGAGACTGACCTTGCCTCTTCAGCAAGATGATGGTGATACGGATCCTATCATCCTGGTCAGTGAGACGCCTAGCGAATTCAAGAACCGGAACAAGATGACCAACGGCTGGTGTTGGGATGAAGATGAGCTCTGCGTTTCTCATCTCTTGTGATCTTTTTCCTCTTCAGATTCCTCTCTTGTATTGACAAGAACAGCAATCTACATATCAAAAGAAGAGGATTATCAACCTTCAAATGTAATGGTTATAAGTCTCAATGCTCCTACCTAATGTTGAGGTGGATCTTGGTAGTTTCAAGTAGAAGAGACAAGTTAACAGAGAGAAGATAAAGCTAGTTTCTGATAATTGTTGTCACATGTGAAGATTAGTGACGCGTTTCCTCCTACCTAATGCTAAGTATATAATATAATAGTCGACGTGATAGAGTGGATTTTTTGAACCACTCTCTCTTTCTTTATTCTAATAAACTAATCATACATGAAACAACATCTTCAAAACCAAAACAAAAATACTCCTGGTTAGTAAATAAGCTCTAATGCATGTTTAGTAAATAAGCTCTTAAGGAAACATGAAACTCTATTGAATAGTATGCTCAAATCAAATAACCTCACAAAATTAAAAACTATATCCTCGAAACAAAAATAAATAAATAAATTAGACAAAAACAAAAGAACAAAAAAAAAGAGAAAACTCTAATCAAAAACCAAACAGAAAAAAAAAAACGAATGCTTAGTGATGGGGTTGGGGTCTGAATCTGTGTAACCACTTGAAGAGCGGTCCAAAGGTGACGACCTCATCCTCCTAGTCCTCGGAAGAGCTCTGAATAGTGGCCGCACCACCACTCGAAGCTTAAGCCCAGCCTCACATTGACCAGTCTTTGAGCTTATGAAATATTGGATTCCTGGTTTTGTGAGCTTAATGAGATCTTGTCCCGTATTGTGCATGGCAACAGGAGAAGAAGGTCGCAAGATATTAAACTCAAGATCACTGCTGACTTCTAAGACGTCGTTGACTTGGTCGTTGTAGTAGAAAAGAAGATTGTCTCCCACATGAAACTTGTTTCTCCTCACTCCACTTGTAATAGAAGTCACTCTCTTCGGGAACACTCCATTCGTTGGAATCACCGACCTTGTAGTTTTTCCTAGAGGAAGGATCTTTCTCGGTAGTGATGGATGAGACCAGCCACGGACGACAAGAACGTGGAGTCTCTGTCCGGTACGCATTGAGAATGATTTGAGCTTATGAAGTAGTGAGAGCCTGGTTCCGTGAGAGTCACGATATCGTGTCCTGTGTTGTAGACGGCCTTAGGAGAAGAAGAGTTGCAGAATTCGTATTCCTGAGCATCGGAGACTTGAGTGACGTCGCTGACGTTGCGGTCGTATTTGAAGATCAGAGAATCGCCCACGTGGAATTCCTTATGCTCAGCCCATTCATAATAGGTGCGTCCTCGTGGTCCATCCATCGGAGTCTCCGACTTTGTAGATTTTGCCGAGCAACCAGATCCCATTAGAACCGTGAAGCTCATCATCACGAGCACAAAGCAGAAGATTCTTGTTGCCAGCCATTATCAATCAAGGACGAGCAAGAAAGATCACAGAATATGATTGAAGAAGAAAAGATTAGCTAGGGAGAATAAGATGATTCAGAGAAGGTTGATAAGTATGTGTGTATGTGAGTGAGAACAAATAGACTATCTTAACTCTCTTATTTATAACACTCCGTAACCTAATCCTCAACGTTTTAGGATTTATAATCAGTTAGTTTTCTTAAAGATTAATTGATTATATCGTGACCGTTTGGAATATTATTATCCTTTTTCAACTTAGATTCGATTTTGCATAAGTAAACACAACGCTTAAGAATCTCTAATCCTTTTCTAGTAGGCTTGTGTACAGTTTTTCTCTAATTTGATTGAAATCTTATCCTTCTTTTTTTGTTTGTTCACAACTGACATGTATTTCATTTTTGAAACTAATTAAATACACCTCTTACCCAATTATTTCATTTTTGGACCAATTAACTCTCATCCAAATCTATGAACAATATTTTCAAACAAGAAATGATGTGTTGATTATTTGCAACATATAAACTTCCATGCAATTCACTCAACATTAGAGGTAAAGGAAACTAGTTGCTTTGTACAAACCAATTTAGCAACCGTTGTAATAAGAGGCAAAGAAGATTCACGCATGACATGACTAATGAATCTTTAAACATCAAAGAAAGGAACAAGTTTCAAAGATAATCAAATCAAAACGCTTAAGCCTTGTGTCCAATAACGTCTTGTATGAATTTCTCAGTAGCCAAATACGAAGATCCACCAGGCAACATAGCTTTCCGAGCCATCTGAGAGACATCCATCACTCTCTTCCTCACCAAATTATTATCTTTGTCCATTACACAGCGAATCGCAGTCTCAATCTCGTTTCCACTTACAAGCTCATCACTATCAATCCTGTAATCAAGCCTCATCTCCACTGCTAGCTTCAGTTCCTTAACCATCAGAAACGCGTTGAGCTGTTGCTCTGCATACATTGGCCATGTCACTATAGGCACACCAAACCACAAACTCTCAACTATTGAGTTCCATCCACAGTGCGACACAAAACCTCCCACTGCCTTGTGGGCCAATATCTCCACCTGAGAAGACCAACCGCATACCATTCCGCGTCCCTTGACGCGGTCAATGAATCCCTCCGGCAAGAGATCATCATCGTTTGTCACCTCATCAGTGCGGAGTGACCAGAGGAACCTGGACTGACAAAGCTCAAGTCCACGAGTTATTTCCTTCACTAGACGACCTCTTAACCCACCCATACTCCCAAAACAAAGGAATACAACCGATGCCTCAGGCTGATCATCAAGCCATTTCATCAACTCGTCTCGACGAGCAAGGTCCTGGTCTGCATGAGGCTGCGCCTTCAAGCCAAATATGGGGCCAACAGCATAAACAGAAGGGTAATCATGTTCATTAAGAAAATAACTCACAGAGTAAGGCTCAATATCAAACGAGCTATTCACTAGGATTCCATTTGCCTTGGTAAACAAGATTCCAAGTTTAACAAAAGTTTCATAATCGTCTTCAAGAAACAGAGCTGCAGGAAGAACTTTTGCTGGAACAGGGTTTGCAAAGCCAGGAATCGACAACATTTCTTCAGAATCTCTAACGAAAACCGAGGGATCTTTACTATGTCTATCAGCTAGATACTGCATCATAGCTAAGAAACCGGAATTCGTCGTCAAGAACACATAAAAAGATAGACCTAGATCTTTTATGATGTCGATCATGGGGAGACAGAAAAAATCAGCAACTACACCCTTGACTGTAACTCCATCCAGTTCAGGAGAAGATAACATACCCATGATTATATGTCTCACAAGAGGAATATTTTTCTCCACAACATTGTTTAGTGTTGGTTTCTCTTCTAACTCAGGGACATCAATGAATCTAACAAAGGGCTGAGACGACGCAATTGACTCAACATAAGTATCCAGATGAGACTGACCTTGTAGCTTCATCAAGAGGATGGTGATACGGATCCTATCATCCTGGTCAATGAGTCGCTTAGCTAATTCAAGAAACGGAACAAGATGGCCAAGAGTCGGTGCTGGGATGAAGATAAGCTCTGTATTTCTCATCTTTAACAACAGAGAGGCTACTGATCTTTCCTCTTCAGACTCCTCTCTTGTATTCACAAGTACAGCAATCTACGTATCAAAGAAGAGAATGAGTTACCTTTATTTTGAACTTGTCATATGTAATGATTACCGTATCAACGATCTCACCTAATGTTTAGGTGGACTTTAGTCGTATTAAGAGAGAGATGACTTAAAAAGAGTTAAAATAAAGCTAGTTTTTGGCATTGTCACATGTGAAGATCACTGACGCTTGACCTCCTACCTAATGTCTTGGTGGCCCTTGGCAGTTTCAATAGAAAACTAACTTAAATAACAGAGTTGATCAACAACTAAAGAAAGCTACTTTCTTGATAAACTAATCACATGTCAAAACCAGTAAAATCACATTTTGCAGGAGAAAAAGGACTCTCCGATCTCAAATTCGAGAATTGAAATCCGGGATGCTTGTTTATCTTACTGGTATAACACGTTGGAGGAGTTTCAGCCGTTTCAGAGAACAAATCCTTCTTCAGAAACCCTACACAGTCTTGTACTTTTTGAGTCAAGAAAAAACAAAACACATCAATCACACGAATTTGCTCCGAAGGGAAGATAGATAAAGATCAAGAAGATAAATCACAAGAAATAGAGAGATTCGATCAAGAACTTTGAGGCATACATACATCTCTTCAAGAGGTACAATAAGTAAGCAGGGACAAAAGAGTGTTACATTTCGGGACAACTCTAAAGGCGAGAGTGACACAAAATTAAACATTGCATAAGAAGAAGAAAATAAAAACCAGTGAGACTGAGCTAAAATCACCGCCTATATGATCGTAATCATGGACTTCAGAACCCTTCACAGACCTCGAGTGCTGCACGATCAACTGTCCAATAGAATTGATTCACTCTTCTTTCTCCTAGTTATCAAGTAACCAAGTTAAATTGATCATTCAGATTCAACATTTTGAAGAAAATGGGATACTAGTTTTCTGAAAAAAAATCTCATCCAAATCTACGAACAATATTTTCAAACAAGAAATGCTGTTTTGGATAGTTGTAACCAAGAAGAAAAAACTCCCAACAGGCCAACACTAGAAGACATTAAAGGCAACTAAGTGATTTGTAAGAAACCAATAGCAAACGTTGTAATTAGAGGCGAAGAAGATTCACGCATGAGATGACTACTGAAAGTTTAAACATAAAAGAAAGAAACAAGGTTCAAAGGTAGGCAAATCAGAAGGATTGTATAACATAAGCAAGATTATATACCTTATGGACAAGAAAAGGCTTAAGGCTTGATTCCTACAACGTCTTGTATGAATCTCTCAGTAGCCAAATAAGAAGATCCACCAATCAACGTAGCTTTCCGTGCCATCTGAGAGACATCCATCACCCTCTTCCTCGTTAAATTGTTTTCTTTCTCCATTACACAGCGAATCGCAGTCTCTATCTCGTTTGCCCTTACAAGCTCATCACCATGCATCCTGTAATCAAGCTTCATCTCCACTGCGATCTTCAGTTCTTTCACCATCAGAAATGCATTGAGCTGTTGCTCAGCGTACATTGGCCATGTCACTATAGGCACACCAAACCACACACTCTCTATTATTGAGTTCCATCCACAGTGAGACACAAAACCTCCCACTGCCTTGTGCGCTAATATCTCCACCTGAGGAGACCAACCGCATATCATTCCTCGGCCACTGACGCGGTCAAGGAAACCCTCCGGCAAAAGATCATCATCTTCTTCAGTGCGGAGTGACCAGAGGAATTTGGACTGACAAAGCTCAAGTCCACGAGCTATTTCCTTCACTAGAGGACCTCTCAACTTTCCCATACTCCCAAAACAAAGGAACACAACCGATGCCTCGGGCTGATCATCAAGCCATTTCATCAACTCGTCACGACGAGCGAGGTCCTGATCTGGATGAGGCTGAGCCTTCAAGTCAAACATGGGGCCAACAGCATAAACAGTAGGGTAATTCTGTTCATTAAGAAAATGATTAACAGAGTGTGGCTCAATATCAAAGGAGCTATTCACCAGGATTCCATTGGCCTTGGTAAACAAGATGGCAAGTTTAACATAAGCGTCATAACCGTCTTCAATAAACAGAGCTGACGGCAGAACTTTGGATGGAACAGGGTTTGCAAAGCCAGGAATCGACAACATTTCTCCAGAATCTTTTACAAAAACCGAGGTATCTTTACCATGTCGATCTGCTAGATACTGCATCATAGCTAGGAACCCGGCATTCGTCGTCAAGAACACATAAAAAGGAAGACTTGCTTCTTTTGCAACTTCAATCATGGGGAGACAGAAAAAATCAGCAACTATTCCCTTGACGGTAACTCCATCCAGTGAAGGAGAAGATAATATACCCATGACTATCTTTCTCACAAGAGGGATATTTTTCTCAATCACATCATATACATAGGCTTCAATAGACTGAGCAACAAGTGTTGGTTTCTCTTCTAACTCAGGGACATCAATGAATCTAACAAAGGGCTGTGACGGGGCGATTGACTTAACATAAGCATCCATATGAGACTGACCTTGTAGCTTCATCAAGACGATGGTGATACGGATCCTATCATCCTGGTCAATGAGACGCCTAGCAAATTCAAGAACCGGAACGAGATGACCAACAGTCGGTGTTGGGATGAAGATGAGCTCTGCATTTCTCATCATCTTTAACAACAGAGAGGTTTTGATCTTTCCTCCTCTGGCTTTTTCTTGCCTTGACAAGAACATCAATCTACATGTCAAAGAAGAGAATTAATTACCTTCATCTTGACTTTGTCGCATGTGGTACCTAACGTTGAGGTGTCTCTTGGCAGATTCAAGAGAAAAGATAAAAGAGTAAAAGAGCTTACAATAATGGCCGACATGTTAGAGTGGGATCCACAACCAAAGAAAGCTACTTTCTTGCATCTCCCTCTTTCTTTCTCATTCTGATAAGCTAAAATCACTCATGATCCAACAACTTCAAAACCAGTAAATAACATGCTTACTGTTCTAACTCGCATATACCAAATCATTCCTCAGATACCAAACACAGCCTTCTACTTTTTGAGTCAACAAAAACAAAATCCATCAATCACAGAGTTTTGAAAACTTGCTGAATCGATCAAAGTTGAGCAAAAACAGATCGAATCTTATACAGTCGTAAAGACAAAATTGTGCGAGAGGAGAAATCATAAGAAAGAGAGATTCGATTTAGAACTTTGAGGCATACATACATCACGTCAAGAGTAGAGACACAAGAGTGTAACATTTTCAGGAGAACCCTAAAGGGCGAGAGTGAGACAAAATCAAACATCGGAGAGAAGAAAGCAAAATCAAAAACCATAAGAGACTGAGCTTAAAAATCACCGCCTGTGATCGTAATCGAGGACTTCAGAATCCGTCACAGACCTCGAGTGCTGCACAATCGACCGTCCAATAGAATTGATCCACTCTTCTTTCTCCTTCTCGTTATCGGCGATGAAGAACACCGTGTAGTTACTGCTTGAGAGCTCAAACGCGAACGGCTTGTTCACGGCGTCCTCAGCTCCTTTGACCGTGAGGCAATCACTGACGGAGATCACACCACGCGGGATAGAGCCACGCGTTCCGGCGGCGGCTTGATCCTTGAACCAGAGAAGCTTTCCTCGCTTGAGCACGAACCAGCGCCGGCGCCAAGTCTTTATGTAATCGCCTTGCTTGGTGAGCCAACCAGATCGCTCTGGGTTTGACCAGAACTCGATCCCGTCGTAATCCTCCCGGTTCGGATCCTGACCCGTCGCGATTCGCCATAGATTCTCCATCTTCCTCTCTCCCAAAATCTCACGACTCCTCCGTCTCTCAAGTCTCAACTACTCTGTCGCGCGATTCCTTTATCAATTTTTAATGTCAGTCTCTCTAATTGATTCGTTATCCACCCAATTTTCATGAAAACGCAGCGTTTTGGTCGCTTTTTCCATGAAGTCGGTGCGTATTATCGGGCCCACGCAATAACTGCTGGCTGTAAGCATTTTAATAATTTCAGTTCCAGGTATATAAACACCCACCAAAACATAAAAGTTCCAGGTATATAACTTTAATCAACTACAATAAATAGAGATATGTCATATGTGGAAACAGAGATGAATATTATGTACTTACACAAAAAAAGTTTCCATTTAAATCTAAAAATATTACTCTTTTCCATATACTCCATTCGTCTTCCTATATGCTGAGTACCAGGCATTTACTATGACTGGCACTAATTACTGCCAGTAATTAGTGCTTTCCATATACTGTCCTTTATTCTTCTTCTTATTTACATTTAATATCACCACTTCAGTGATTCGTAGCCATTATTCAAGACTAAAACGGTTAAATTCCCAACTGCAGTAGTTAGTCGCGAATTAGACAGAGACTTAACTCAGTACTTTAAGAACCATAAACTTTTAGCAACTTTTGGTCACACAGATCTCAAACATCGGACACTAGTCCTAAATTCTCTGAGCGAGTTATACTGAAATCAAAAATAAACAAAAACAACAAAAATGCTTATGCTCAGACATTGTTGATGCGAGGTGTGAGAGTAGTAACCTCAGGTGTGTCAAGAAAAGAAGACTCAGCAAGATCAATGGCTCGAGCTAACGCAGCTGCTTTGTTCTCACACTCCCTCTGTTCGTCGTCAGGGTTACTGTCTGCAACAACTCCAGCTCCAGCCTGAATATGAGCAATCCACTCTCGACGTCTCTGAGGATGCTTGTAAGAGTACAATGTATCGTAACGGGAATTCGTAGGGAAGACCATCGTTCTGAGAGACAATGCGATGTCCATGTCTCCGTTAAACGAAATGCCTCCAAACCCTCCACTGTAAGGACCTCGTCTCGTTACTTCTAGTTCGTCTATCAGCTCCATGGCTTTTACCTGTATACATCAAATGGCCTCTTTTTAGAATGGTTAATATGTGTAATGAGTTTGTGGGTTTTTGTGAGAGAGAAAAAACCTTTGGGGCTCCGCTCACGGTTCCAACGGGAAGTGCAGCTCTTAAAGCGTCCCAACTTGTTAGATCATCTAGTAATTCGCCTTTTACCTGTGAACGAGTAGTTTTTTTTTTACATGTCACTGAAACCAAAGGACTTCAGAATCAAAAACGTTTGTTTACTTTGACGCAGTAGCATACCGTGGAGCTAATGTGCATGACATGTGAATACCGTTCTATATTCATAAGCTTCTCAACCTCCACAGATCCGGGCTTTGAAACCTGAGTTCACGAGAAAATTCAAACAAGTTAGTAGTAGCTTAAGGCTTTAAAAAACTGCATTTTAGCTTCCAAAATAAGAGATGAGCAGTGTGGTTAAGTGATGAACCTTGCCAACATCGTTCCTCCCCAAATCAACAAGCATAATATGCTCTGCGCACTGTTTCTCATCGCTTAAGAGCTCTTTTTCCAACATTTGATCTTCTTTTGGTGTCTTTCCTCGTCTCACGGTTCCAGCAAGGGGACGATTGGTAATTTGCCTCTGTAGCGGAAAGAAAACACACATCCAGCCATTCATTTAAGGATTCAAGAAACCAAAGATTAGAGGAGAGAATAGGTAACATTTACCTTTTTCGAACGTAACAATATTTCTGGACTTGAAGCAACTAATATGCATCCTCTAGCCTGTAAATAAGCCATGTACGGACTTGGATTTACAATCCTAAGAGCTCTATATATCTCAAACGGATCAGCAAATGTCCGCCTTTCAAATCTCTGGCTAAGAACTATCTGAAAGATGTCACCAGCCAAGATATGTTCTTTGGCTTCCAACACTGCCTCCTTGTATGCCTCGCTCGTCATAGTTGATTTCTCCAGTTTAGGACCGAATAGCTCAGTGCGTAGCTTTATGGAACCAGTAGGCATCTTCGGGCTGCAATCATAAAAGAAACACTCAAGCTCAATCAGAATTTACAAATAAGATACAAACTTAAAAAAAAAAAATCCAAAGACTGGTAGAGAAACGATCTACTCACGGTTTTTGGTCTTGAATTCTAGAGGTTAGAGACTCCAACCTCTTCATTCCATCAGTGAAATTATCTTCCACAGAACGATCTTTATCTATCCGCACCCAATGGATCACATACGCTTTCTGTGCTCAACAGAAATTCAGCATGAATATATCATAAGCAAGACACTTTATCTTTAATCAAGATGCAAATATCAAGAACAACAGTACTACCTTCTCGACATGATCAAAAACAATCACATCATCATAAAGGCCCAAATGAACATCAGGAAGGCTCCTATCATCCTCTGGAGCATTTGAAAAGGGCAGCTTCTTCTTCTCAACGTAACGCACAGTGTCGTATGAGAAGTATCCGACCCAACCACCTGGTTAACAAGTTCAAGATTATCAATCAAACCATCCGAGGAATCAGATTAGCCTTTTAACAGAATTTCTTCCTCTTACCGCAGAAAGCTTCCGGCAATTCATCAATGCGTTGAGGTTTCCACTCCTCCATGATTTGTTGAGGAACCATCATTGGATCATCGACTTCCTCCTCTGTCTTACGACCAGCTTCATGGTCCATCACTGTTACCACATTTCCCTTTGCTACAATCTCTATTGTGGGTTGAGCTCCAACTACACTATACCTCCCCTAAGATAATGATATTTCAAATTTTCAATTCATGGAGCTTTGGGGGAAATAAATACAAAAATGGCTTACGATATTGGAAGCTTGAAGACCAGGCTCCACCGACTCAAACAAGAAACTAGGAGCGTCTCTATCGTCTTCTTTCACCAAACATCGGTAAGCAATTATCGGAGTCAAATGATCAGAGAATATGCATCGGTACAGAGGAACTAAGTTTCCTTTCTCCGCTGCTTCCTTGAATTTTGCCAACTGGTCGCCTGATAAATCTGCCGGAGAAGTTTTAACTTCGATGGGAAAAGAGAAATTGCTAACGTCGATAATGGGTGAAGAGTTTTAGTATACCTAAAGATGGAGTAGATGAAGAAGAAGAGCATTTGATAGGAAGAAGACGCGAGGAATTGCAGACTCGGAGGGCATTTGATCGGGAGATAGAAGCTCCACCGTCAAAGCGAAGAGACGACGGAAACCGTAGGGAATGAAATGGTGGTGGTGGTGGTGGCGGCGGCCGATGGTGCGTAACGGCTACGGCCTCAACGGCGGATAAATTAGATTTGACGGAGAAGAGAGAAACGGCAGACATCTCAGTGATGTCGTTGATTCAACTTTTTCGCTAACGGTGTAAGAGAGGACCGATGGTATAATTAGAAGAAAAACATTCAAAGCCTTGAAGGTGATTCCGAATCAGAAGCAATTAAAATATAGTAACACTTTTATTAATTTTCCATTAATTAATTTTTTCCCTAAGCTTTCTGAAGCAAATTGCAATAAATGACTACATATTCAAAATATATTAGGAGATTTTCTTGGATTGATAATATGAAAATCAACTTGGCAAAACAAATTTTCGGTTTTTCTGTATCCAAAGAATGTAGAATACATGTTGTTTATGTTCTTACATATAAAATTACAGAAGAAAACAGTGTACAGTATGTGAGTACTGAGTTTTTTACTCTTGTATTCTGTAAAAAATGAATAAACTATAAACCCATCGCTGTAACTCAAATAACTTCATCACAGAAGACAGTTGCGGAAGAATCGAATTTCCTGTTGTGCAATAAGAAGGGAACGTGTTAAAATTTAGAAGAAGAAAACTTGTAATTAGTTTGGGAATAAACCAAGTGTTTATGTATATACCTTAAGAGCAAATGTGATGTCAGCTTCATCTACTCTTAGGCTCACTCTCTTTAGCTTATCGTCCCGGGCATGACTGAGTTTTAAAATACCCTGTGCCAATCCAAAATGACTTCAATATCGAAATGGCACTTTCAAGATTCTATCAAATTCTATGATTATATAAAAGCAACGCAACATGGCAGTTATAATCTTGTAGAAGATGAGTCTTCTTTAGTACCTGGTCGTTTAACACTGTACACATGTTAGCGAACTCTGTAATTCCAGCTGGAGTTATCATCGAAGATTTACAGATTTCCAGGTATAACTTATTCAACTGCATCAAAAAAATGTGAAAATAGAGATGAGAATTATTATTATGTACAAACGTCTTTAGTTATAGCTTCACAAAGCTGTGTTTGTTTGTTGTGTTGTTCATCCAGTGAGGACTTTTTACCTCTGCAATGGTTCTGTCCTTTTTGCTTCCTCTAAAGGCCTTTGCAGCAGAACAGACTATGATCTGCAAGTATTCAATACAAGCATCTGATTTCAGTACACTACATAATTTGCTGGATCTATGTAAAACATGTTGGTAAAAGAAGTGCCAGATATAATAAGTTTGTATGATGATGTAACTTACTTGCTGGTGTTGTGGAAGAGACTGAATGGTGTCAACTACTGGAGATTTAAACGTCTTGGACAATGCAAATACCATATGATCCAGCTTGACCTGGAGGTTTAAAGATGATAACAATTATAGAATAAGACCACAATTTGCTATGAATCCTTGATATTTGCGTTGTCAGTAAGTGGAATGAAAATGAAATAGAGAGTCAAAATACTAACCACTTGATCCTCTGTAACTGGACTTTGTGGTTCTTGGTCTGTTGATCCTTTAACTTCAATTTCTAAGATTTCTAGAGCGCTCCTGGAAATCGTATCATTGTAAAGAAAGTGGGATTGTCAACTTCAGTGTGATGCTTTTCATCAAGAGTAGTAGGCAATTACAATATATAGAGGCTAGTATTATTTCGTTCATCTTTAACTACAGAGACGAAACTTGCAAAAAGAGTATTCACCT